CCCCCCCCCCCCCCCCCCCCCCCCCCCCCCCCCCCCCCCCCCCCCCCCCCCCCCCCCCCCCCCCCCCCCCCCCCCCCCCCCCCCCCCCCCCCCCCCCCCCCCCCCCCCCCCCCCCCCCCCCCCTAAACTCGACACAAAATCAGCAGACTAAGGCTCTCACTCGGCTAACATCTCTGATTATTGTATCTAAACGACCTGTAGAACAAATGCTCATTATAAAACATTTCTTTATTGATGATGAGGGCCGGGGGCGCCAGTATTTCCTTACCGGGACACCCTTTTGAAATCTCTGAATAACAAAAGCAGATGTCTTCGTTGTTCTGGTACTGTGGAATGAGGAATACTCTTAAAGAAAACTTACAAAACCAAAAAGGGTACATTGAACTACCAAATGGTATTGTAAAATACGGTTAAGAGTATTTCTAATTCCATAAAACCAAAAAAGAGAGGGTATCCGCATTTGTTACTCAGAGATTCCAAAAAGGATATCTCGGCATGAAAATATCCTTTTTTGGTTCTTTTTTAGCGAGTAGAGAATTGGGAATAAAATCAAAATCAACCTGTGTTAAAATTCGTCGAAACTATTTTGACTGTAACCGCTAAACATCTTATGTAAGTAACACCGATAGTAAAGAAGTTCGACGTCAACAACAGGAGATGGAGTGATATAAGTATAAAGAGATATTTTCGTGCGTAACTCGACGGACTCTATACAATTCGATTGGTTTTAGTTGAAAGAGAACAAGTTTTGTAAAGTGTGGGAGATATCAGATGAACTTATTCCAATTTCCAAAGTCTCATGACGTCATACAGATACAAAAAATGTCATACTATCAGACTTCACACTCTGCGAATTACCAACTATTTTTTGTTCGATCAGCGTGACAGGGCAGTCCGAGTCATCACTCGTACTCGAATGACTGGAGTCACATCTGTTTAACGACTCTGGCTCGAAAATTGGGTGACCTTGAGTTGACTGTTTGACTCGAGTCATTCATTCAAAAAAAATTTTCATTTGCTCTTATAAAAAGATTACAATTTATAAGATTAGATTTTCACTTATGCATAACTTTTCCGAATTGAATATATTGCATCAGAACGATTTTTTCAACAGCTTTTTGCTACCTATATATTCATATAGTCGTAAATGATAACTCACGTGTATTGGTGTCCTCTCAGTTCGTCCCGAATTGGCTTTGTAAGATCAAACAACATCAAAGGGGTGGGCAGGTGTGAAAGTGAGCAATTTGGGACGAACTGAGAGTAAACCCGTATATTATATGTCTGCATATTGATGAATATATATGTTTTGTCCCGTTCTGCTTTGTATCGGCTCATCTCGGTGGCAAAAATAACTTGACTCGACTCGACAAGTGGCTTGATCCGTTCAACCCTGCAGCACGATCTATTCAGCAAAACGAACAATATACAGTGCTCACCAGCGAAGACCAACTCCGGTATGAAAAATGATAAAAGAATAAGATGAGCATGTGTAAGGAAATATCATGTCTCGTTAAAATATAGAATCATCCTAGTGAATCGTCTGATTCGAAGACACTCTATGAAGAAGAAAATAAACAAGAAATAGACTACTTAATCAAAAAATAAAATTTTCTTTGCATTTCTAGAGGATAACATTTTAAGATAAAAACAAAGTTTTGTCCAAAAAACGTAAGATCTCGTCAAGAAATGCTAAAGAATGCTGTCACTATAAAGTACTATGTCTGGCATAACATTTTATTTCGGATCGGAGATCATTATTCATTTTCTGAGGATATAGGACAGTTAACATGTCCTCAAAATATGATATAAAAATACGGTTAACTACTTGTATGCTCTAGATACGACGTTGAACATTTGTCATCGATAATCTCGATTGTTTTCATTGTTGTGTTTTCTTATCCACTTGAACAATAACTTTATTCGGCACATCTCCGTTATAACGTTTTTTGGCGTCGTCGACGATATACCCAATATCAGTAACAACCTTTTTTAAACTTCGTTCACGTGATCTAGGCGATATTTTTCTTCCTGTCAAAAGTTTTTCAGGCATTTCTATAATAAAATTCTTATCTTTTTGTCTCTGAACACGTGGATTTAACTCAATTTGTTGTTGTTCGCGAACACTTGGATTTAGTTCAACCTGAACGCTTGGATTTGGTTGAACTTGTTGTGGTTGATGGTGTTGAACGCTTGGATTTAATTCAACCTGTTGTGGTTGGTGATATTGAACGCTTGGATTTAGTTCAACTTGTTGTGGTTGGTGGTATTGAACGCTTGGATTGAGTTGAACGTGTTGTGGGTGATGTAATCGGTGATCTTGATAATATTGTGTCTCCTGTTGTTTACGTCGAACCTCTGTACTATCGACGTTACTTACATACGATGCGGGCGTTTTTTGTTGATGACGCTGATGAAAATGCGCATCTGGATGATAAGCTAGATTGTTTCTATAGCTATCTTCAACCATTTTCCAGTATTCTTCTGGAACATACCGTGAAGCATTTGGATGTGTTGGCGGTATTAAAGCATATGCAGTGCCGCCCACATATTTTCTATTTGTTAGGAAATAACCTTCACGTACACCAACACAAGCTAGTATTATATACATCACACACATCGCCACAATAAATAATACGCCAGAAACAGCCACACCCACGATTTCCGAAGTAAAATCAGTCGTATCTAGAATGAAAATAAGAATAGAAATCGTTATCTGAATACAGTAATTCTATAATTAGATTTTGAAAACTAAGAGAAAAATATACCCATCAATCTCCGATAGGCTGAGAAAATAGTCAAGCATACCAAGGTAGTTTATTATGAACATTTAGATTGCTAATAGAAACTGCATAGACTTTCATGGAAGACCGAAACAGACTTCAATAACTAAATCACCATCTGTGAAAAGTGGAAGAATAACCTAAATGTATTTATAACTGATTTTGAGATAAACCAAACTGACTGGCTGATCCAATTAGAGAATAGGTGATTGCTTTTATTACTGTACCGGCTGATTTCAACTGTATTGCTTATCAACAGGTATCATCTTATTAGAAGCAAGAACATCTGATATGACATACCTGTGAACAGAAAGTAGAGACTAACTGCCAAACCAGCTAAGGCGATTAACGCCAATATTAAACATAAAACAATAATTAAACAAATTCTTCGTGAACAACAGGCTGTTGCAACTTGCATACATGTTTGCTTATGTACTTTAATTGTTTCGTGAGATATCAGACTATGGCGATGGTTTTCAGTCTAAAAAAACGAAAACATATTTGTGTGAAATTTGAATTTTTGATCTTAAAGAGAATTAAAAGTGAATAATCACCTTTAATCTACCTGTGTTTCGTCGTGTATATTCGTCTTTCGTTTCTCTCTAATAGAAACACCGTTGACGTAAGGATTTTCAATAACAGCGATAGACTGTTTTTCAGGATTAACAAGTACGATAGATTTGACATTATCCGATATAGTTTCATCATCGTCAACAAATGTTACTTTTTGTTGCTTTATTTGAGTTTTGTTGTCTACTGGAGACGATGGTGGGCTAACTTGAACGGTAGTATTTTTCACTTTTCGCAATGAAACTTTCTTTCGAGGGGTTTCTATTTGAATAAAAATAAATTATAAAGAGCAAACGACTAAAAAAGCAAAATCACTTTTCCAGAAATATAGGAAAATGTCATAAATTGAGTAGAGAAATAGTTAATCCAACTATTACTTTTATACGTTCTATTGGCACTATGGATGCATCAGATGTAAGTTTCAAACGCAAAAATACTTGAAAGAATAATTTGCAAGGCATAAATATTTACAAGATGATTTAATATCACTCTACCTTTTGGTATTTTATCATCAACTCTTGCATACGGTGTTGAAGGGCGCCGAAAATGTACGTTTAAAGATCTGTTTGCTTCAGTTGTATCAATGTTTTCTTCTGCTGGAGGAACAGGTGTTTCAACTTTTACTGGTGGCTGTTCTAATACCGGGCTTGGTGAACGACCTCTTGATCGTCCCTGAGTTTGATCTACAATAACAATATTTGCTGGATTGTGTGAACGTGTGACATTTGACTGAGGTGGCGGAGGTTGAGCAGGATTAGGAGGTATTGGTCGACGTATAACGTAAACAGTTTTTTGCTAAATAAGTAAATCAGTTTGGATCTCCGAAAATCAAGCAAGAGATTGAATACTTACCGGCGTCTGTTGCTGTGAAACTGGTAGTGTAGCTGAGTTTGGTCGTATTAAATCACCGAAATCAGCTCGTACTGGTAGATTTATATTTGGATTTTTTGGATTTCGTACAACTACAATTTGTCTTGATGATGGTAAAGAATCAGCTGAATGAATTACTTGATTGTCATGATTCGATAGTCCAGATCGGTTTTTCGGGTCGTATTCACTCGGCAAGACGCTATCGACTTGTGTAAAATACGGTTCATTCTTTCTATAACCTGGTTCTTGTCTAATGACCCGTTTTTTTGAATTACTGGCAGCCATACTATCAATTTGTTACAAAACAGACGTTTACTTAAAGGCATACAAAAGTGTAAAAAAGAAAAACAGAAAATGTTTTGTGTTCGTTACACTTCAAAACATAGAAACAGAAGGACATATTGTTATAAAATTTCATTTCAATACAAATAAAATACCTTTTTTTGTCTTTATATCATCAATGACAATGAATTTGTTTATGTTCGACTTACGTGAGATTTACAAAAAGCATCATAAATATAAAGAGGTTAGCAATACTCTTCAATCAATCAATCTAATGATAACAATGAATCAAGAGGAGAGTTTCGAATAAATGATAAGAACTTTTAAAATGCTTTATAAAAAGTACAACTTAAATCAATGGATTCTTCTACAGTTTTACATCCTACGCAGAATTTTAACTTTAAATTCAAAAAATTTTATGAAATCTGACAGGATGTTGAATAGAATGGTAAAATTATAGTCGATTTCATACTGTATGCATCTGATTAAATAGTACAACAATCTATATAATAGAACGTACTAAAAAGGTAGTCGATCATTCTTATATCTATATATATTTTATAAATCATTTTTTGAAATTGGAAACTAAATTTCATGACGTAGAATAGTGTTCAGATAGATTTTTAATTAAAATATATCGATGGCTGACATAGTTCATAAATACAAAAAATCCTCGCTAGTATTTTATCCATATGACAACAAGATTTCCCCAATTAGAATTTTTTATACACAACTTGTGTCCTTCAAATATTTAGGCTTTCATTTATTATGACTAAATTATCTTTTTCGTCTACACTTGATGTTCATTGAAAACAGCGTCCTTCTTAGCATACAATGACATGCACCACTACACTGTTTATATCCTTCTTTTCTCTGCAAAAAAAATACTTTTTGTGAAATAAAAGTGCCAAAATTCACTTAGATATCATATGTTTAATCCATTATATTTTTTCTGCACCTCTTCAATCAAAAACTTATAGAAATTGTTGTTAACAAGCTAACCTATTTCATGTGTACATATGCAACGGGTAATGAACACGATAAGTTATAAAATTCAATTTAAAAATTAAATAGAGAATTGACAGAAAAATCAAAGTAAGAAAACCATTTGTGTCCATCGAAATTTTGTAAAACATGTGTATTAGAAACTACACAGTTTTGTTGAAAATGCAAAAAGCATACAAACAATGTATTATCAGAAGAAAATGAAAACGAAAATTCTATTTGTAAACGAAACGACCTCGATACTTTATTCAAACATTATTATTATCTGGAAGAATAAACAAAGTTTTCTGCAAAGTTAGAGCTCATTCCTTCTGGCGCTAAGAAAGCCGACTTTTTATTTCCATTTCATATGAACAGAGACAGGCAAGGAGATGCTACTTTATCGAAACTTAGTCCGAACGCCATATATTCCATCCAGAACTCAGAGACCTATAATAGAAAATTATTTGAAATGCTGTCAAGTATCAATTTCAATGTTAGTGACGAAACGGCTAAGGAAACTTTCGACAATGTCAACCAAAAATATTTAGTTGAAATAAAGACATATTTGAGTAAATGTATCCAGAATGTAGTGTATGCCTCCTGACGAAGATCTTCTGTAGAACTGAGTCGATCTGATTGACAAACTACATCTCTATGTAGAGACCGCTGTCCTTTTGAAAATAAGCCGTTCAACGCGAATAGTACGACATTTTTTCGGGAAATTAGAACTATTGTCCATCCGAAAAAAGAATAACTCATGCCCATTTTTTTAATAACTCAAAAACTGAAAGAGCCAGAGTGGTGGGTTTTTCCGATATGGAAAGAACAGTCGATGGAGCATATTTTTGCGAGCAAAAGACTTTTCGAGAAGTTTTTCAAAAATCAGTTTTGGGGAGGATCTTTAGAAGACTCGTGCATAACGGAATTATTTGAAATATTAAACTATTGGTTTTTTATATCAGTAGGTAGCAGAAAGTGCCCTTCACAAAACGGAATCTAGGCGACAGCTTCATTTGCCATGGGTTCAATAGCTACAGGTTGAAATAATCCATTTTGCCGAATTGCATCGAGAGCTAAAAGATTCATAAATCAGCCAAAATCGGTTCAAAGTACCTCAGAATATCAACATGTACTTCATTTTTTTTTGTAATAGCAGAAGGGCGTACTTAGTCCGTTATTATCCAAAATTTCCGAAACGACTATAAATAGAACGCTGTCAATTATTTTGCGAATATAATTTGATATTATACGTGTTTCCTGAAATTTGCGTAAAAAACAGATTAAAATAAAAAAAATTTGTTTTTCTGTAGACGACTCCTCGTGGCATGTTCTATGGATAGCGCTCTTTCATTTGAGCAGATGATGAAGATAGGCCGAAACGATGGATGAGACTCTGTTCGTATTCGCTCCCTCGAAAGTGCCCAACAGCTTTGTAGAAAGTGTACATGCAGGTCAAGGTCCATGGTCGGACACCCGACAATATGAAATTTCTCTTCATTCTTCGACACTGTTCAACAGCTGCTTTGGACAATGTGGATTAAAAATTCAAAAACTCTTAGCGAATTTCGAATAAATATTATTAAAAAAACATCGTCGTTCTTACTATTCAGATCCTAACAGATTCTTACTCAATGCTGAAAAAATCTTAGACAGTATAATCTTAGTAAGATCTTATTAAAATCTTAGCAAAATCTTATCAAATCTAAAGATTTTCCGATCTCACGATCTTAGTTAGATTTGACTAAGTCTGTGACTGGGGGTGACGTATAAGTTACAAAGAAACCAGAAAAAGTCTTACCGAACTCGTTTTTCATCTGGACCCAAGTATTAAGACTAAGGAAGAGTGTTTTTTTCTATTCTTTCTTAGTCAGCTTTGAGTAAGGTGCCGTAAATTCAAAAAGATAGCAAGATCTTTTTTGGTCATCTCTGACATGATTGAGTAGAGCTCATTGACTTACTTAAAACTTAGGTTTTAGATTTTAAAAGGTGATTTTTGGGTGAAAAATACGAAAATGCTGATTTTTTAAATAATAGGCAAAAATTAGTGAATTTTTCTAGAAAATGCAGTTTTCATGTTTCTTATTTTTCTAAAATTTCAGAGCTATTTTTTCCGGATTCTCCATGCAAAACTGAATCTAAAAAACTAATTGAGACACTTTTTTAAACCGAAACTGAGCTGAAAATCCGCTAAACATGAGCAGAAGCGTTAAAGTCCTATTTGTCCACCTGACAAACCTATCTAGTTCTAGAGTTTAACACATAAAACAGCTTTTCATATTTCGTTTTAGCCGTCATGCTAGTGGGAAAAAACGATCACATCCGTTTTCCGAAATTGAGTTTCGTTGCTGGAAAAATTCATTTTTTCTAAATGAGAGGCGAAAAAGTCGGAATTCTACTCGTAATTCTCAATTTTCTCCATCAACTTTTAGGCAATAAAAATATCATATTCGGAATCACGATTAGGGGTGTGGCAGTTCCATATCAGTTCCGAGAGCGGGAGCTAGCACACCATTTCAAGCTCATATGAAAGGAGCTGATCAACAGCTCATATGAGTAGGAGCTGGAGCTGGTTAACAGCTCACATGAGTAGGAGCTGGAGCTGGTTAACAGTTCACATGAGTAGGAGCTGGAGCTGATCAACAGCTCACATGGGTACGAACTGGAGATGGTCACCAGCTCTTTACTACATTTACTCACAGTTCACGAGCTTGAACTGTCACACCCCTAATCACGATCAAAAACTGAGTTGAGTGATGTTCAGTTGATTTTTAGTTTTGGGTGAAAATCTCAGTAATTTTTCGACGTGTAAATTCGAAAAACATTAAAGTAGTCGAGTTGGATAGAATAAAAATGTACGTTTTTCTCTTGAATCAAACATTCTTCACGGATGCTTTATACGTCATGTAAAAGAGAAAGTCAGATATGCACAAGAGTAGATAGTGCTGGACACAAACTAGCGAAACAAGTAACGTAAACGGTTTTTATTAGAGCTCTAGTGCGCTGAGAAGGCGGTGAAGCGTTTTCTTGTGATAGATGTAAAGTCGGTGGCATTCAAGCTTGTTCGAATGACGTAAGAGCCAACTTCCTATCTTTTTGTTTTTGAACTACTGCTGTTTTAATGCTGACTGGTTTTTCAAATTAGCCAACTTTTTGCTGTTTAAAAACGAATGTGTACAACGAATTTCTTTTATTTTTTCTCCACTAATAGAATCCATCGAGTACTTCAGGGAATAATGATGCATCTCTTTTACCATTTATCTTTATCTCTTTCAATGGTATTCAAAAGGTACTTTTATCTATCTTCCCATCAATATAGTATTAAGAACAGAAGATATCGATCCTATGTATATATGAGAGAGACGTAACTTTCTGGTACAACCGATAAAAAAAAATGAAAGTGTTCATAAAAAAATTTGAATGGTACGTTGTGTTCCCCTGTCTTTGCCGAGTATCCTATAAAAATTTCCCAACTGCCAGACTCATACTGGTTGAGTTAGGAGGGAGACAATTTTCAATTTTTGCCATAGTGAATTTTTGGCAGGATTTTGCTAGAAAAAGGGTTGAAATAGATGTATTCTACATCGTTCGACAGAGAATGATTCGAGCAGTACAGTGGGACTGTGAGCAAATGCGTCAAGCCGAAAAACCGCAGAGAAGTTTTTTCATTCTTTAGTGTTAAAATCTAAAAAGTTCGAATTTCGTTATGTGATTCTACTTTCAGAATTATTCATTATTTTAGCAAAGATTATAGATTTTAGAGCTCCAAAAATTAGGTAGTCAAACTCGTCGCAGTCTGAGGAGTCGACTGGTGTACGGTATTGATGGTTTTCGTTTAGCTTTGACCAGAAAATCTCACGAAAAAAGGTTGGTCTACATTTAGTTAAAAACAAAAGTCGGTCTACATTTTCCTCTATAATGTAAAAATAGTAAGGAACAAAATGAGGATTCGATCTGAAATTACTTTTGCTAGTAC